AGTTCCATGAATATCAGGAAAACTGTGAAAACTTCAGGTTAGTTCCGAGAACTTCAGGTTAGTTCCGAGAACTTTATTGGAAGTTCCATTTACATCAGTAAAATAAGTGAACTATTCGTCGGAAGGACGTCCAAAAAACTACAGGGAATGAAATTTAAAAAAAAATAAGAAGGCTACACAGAAGTTCCACGTTTAAAGGGAAGTTTAAAAATCTTCTGGGCAGTTCCATCAATGTCTGGACAATTCCAGAAACATCATCAGGAGAATAACAAGAACATTAGGAATGTTCCGTAAACTACAGAAAACATTAGAGATCTTCAGGAGAGTCTGAGAAATGAAAAAAAAACTTTTGGGAATTGTTGTGATCTTCAGGCAAGCGAGTCAAAAAAATTTCAGAGATGTGGAGATGACTTAAGAAAAATTGATATTTTAAAGAATTCAAAGAAGTTAGACTATAGAGCCTTAGGTAATTTCAGAGATATAAACGGCACTTCCAATAACTTCATAACTTCAACAAATTCAAGAAAGTCTAGACTTTCAGGAAAGTTTGTAGATTTGTAAGCGTAAGTTTCGATTAATTCCGGTCAATTCCATAAACTTCAGCGTTTTTTAAAGAAGTTCCGATAATTTTAAGGAAATTTTGAGAACTTAATAAAACTTCAGAAATATTTCGGGAACTTCAACGAACTTTAAAGGTTTTTAGGACAGTTCTATTTAGTTCAAGGAAGTACCAACAATCAATACGAAACTAACGGTTTTATATTGGCTCACTACTTGACTAGCCTATTGGTCCCAAGCAAACGATTAACGTACCCCATTCTAGTCGAAATTCTAGTACTACGCAATGTTTGTTTTGATTCGTTATGAAAATTTGGCAGATAAAATGAGGGGTTAGTGGATTTTCCTATGTTTCGAGGGGTGAATCGATTAGCTTGGGACCGAAGAGAGTACCAGAGCTAAGCCAAAAAGTTGAGAACGTTATTTCGGGACCTTCTAGTCTTAGAGTTACCTCTATGGTAGTACCATAGAGGTAACTCTAAGATCAGAAGGTCCCGAAGATACGAGCTCAACTTTTTGACTCAGCTCTGGTACTATCTTCGGTCCCAAGCTAATCGGTGCACCCCTCGAAACATAGGAAAATCCACGAACCCCTCATTTTATCTGTCAAATTTTCATAGAGAATCAAAACAAACATAGTGTAGTACTAGAATTTTGAATAGAATGGGGTACGTTAATCGATTTGCTTGGGACCAATAGGCTAGTCAAGTAGTGAGCCAATTTAAAATCGTTAGCTTCGTATTGATTGTTGGTAGGACCATAGGGGTAACTCTAAGACTAGTAGGTCCCGAAGAAACGTGCTCAACTTTTTGGCTCAGCTCTGGTACTCTCTTCGGTCCCAAACTAATCGATTTACCCTTCGAAACATAGGAAAATCCACTAACCCCTCATTCTATCTGTCAAACTTTCATAGCGAATCAAAACAAACATTGTGTAGTACTAAAATTTTGACTAGAATGGGGTACGTTAATCGATTTGCTTGGGACCAATAGGCTAGTCAAGTAGTGAGCCAATTTAAAATCGTTAGTTTCCACCGGTTGGCAGGACTGATCAGAGAAACTAAGTGCAGTTCAACCAACCGGTGAAAGCTAACGATTTTAAATTGGCTCACTGCTTAGCTACCCAAAGCAAACGATTAACGTACCCCATCCTAGTCAAAATTCTAGTACTACACAATGTTTGTTTTGATTCGCTATGAAAGTATGACAGATAAAATGAGGAGTTCGTGGATTTTCCTATGTTTCGAGGGGTGCGTCGATTAGCTAGGGACCGAAGAGAGTACCAGAGCTGAGCCAAAAAGTTGAGCACGTTTCTTCGGGACCTTCTGGTCTTAGAGTTTCCTCTATCATTCAACTAATTTCAATCACATTGAAGCAATGTTTAAGAAGCTCCGAGAAACTCAGGGAATTCTAGAAACCTTCATAAAAGTACCAAGACCTTTATATAAATATGATAAAGGGTGTCCCACATCAAATTGTATCATGGAAAAAACGCTATAGAAAATTAACCATTGGGTATTTTCTCTTGAAAATATGGGTAGAAGTAGATAAAGAGTGTATTGTTTACACGGTTTAAATGCAATGGGGGGAGGTGGCTGTCAAATACGAACAATCGTCGTCTACCTCGCATAACTGGTTCCAAACGTAAACAAGCCATAAGAAACCTACAGGGTTTGTTTACGTTTGGAACCAATTTCATACAAGAATGATCAGTAAAGGGTGATACGGTCAAAAATTGGTCAAGGGAAAACGCCTGTAAATCGGTGAAATCGTTTATTTAAAAAATCAAATTAAATTTCTTTTTCAAGTTCAATTAGTATAAAATTCAGGAAAAATATTCAGTTAGGCTTCCGCTTTTCCAAATCCGAATTGCCGGGCCTTACGCTTGACCCCTGCCATCAGATTTTGTACAGCCACCTTGTCCACCTTCTTCGCCGCAGAAAGCCAGTTTGCCTTGAACTGCTGCTCGCCCTTAGCAGTTTTTTTGGTCTTCTTTAGGTTCCGCTTGACAATAGACCAGTATTTCTCAATTGGGCGGAGCTCTGGCGTGTTGGGAGGGTTCTTGTCCTTGGGAACCACCTACACGTTGTTGGCGGCGTACCACTCCATGGCCTTTTTACCGTAATGGCAAGATGCCAAATCCGGCCAAAACAGTACGGAACAACCGTGTTTCTTCAGGAAAGGCAGCAGACGTTTATTCAAACACTCTTTCACGTAAATTTCTTGGTTGACAGTCCCGGAAGCTATGAAAATGCTGCTTTTCAAGCCACAGGTACAGATGGCTTGCCAAACCAGATATTTCTTTGCGAACTTTGACAGTTTCATGTGCTTGAAAACATCTGCTACCTTTCCCCTTCCTTTTGCCGTATAAAACTCCTGTCCCGGAAGCTGCTTGTAGTCGGCTTTGACGTAGGTTTCGTCGTCCATTACCACGCAGTCAAACTTCGTCAGCATCGTCGTGTACAGCCTCCGGGATCGCGCTTTGGCCGTCGTATTTTGTTTATCATCGCGATTTGGAGTCACTACCTTCTTGTAAGTCGATAGTCCGGCTCGTTTTTTGGCTCGATGCACGGTTGTAGACGATACACCCAGCTTATTTGTGGCATCTCGGAGAGAGAGGTTAGGGTTTCGCTTGAAACTACCGGCAACTCTTGTTGTCGTCTCAGCGGGTTCCGGTTTTCGATTTCCCCCCGATCCAGACTTCCTGGCTGTCGACAAACGTTCCCCAAACACTTTAATTACATTTGTAACGGTTGATTTGGCAACTTTTAGCGATTTTGCCAACTTTGCGTGCGAGTAGCTCGGATTTTCGCGATGCGCGAGCAAAATTTTGATACGCTGCTCTTTTTGCTTGGACGGCATTTTGACAACTGAAGAGTGAATTCCAAAATCAAAATAGGAGCAACATTCTACACACACACACCTTCAAAATGAGGGGTGTTCAGGTTTTTTAAATGCAAAATTGAAAGAAATACGTCAAGTTGATATTGACCAAATTTTGACCGTATCACCCTTTAGTTCAATGCAATTCATATAATAAATTCATGGAAACTAACTGAAGTGTAAAATTGAGGAACTCCTGAGCAGAATTCACACTTAATTTAAGGAATAATTCCATTGAAGTTTTGGAGGAATACTAAGAAAATGCTGAGGAAGAATTCTGATGAGAATCTCAAGGGAATTCTGCTAGAATTATTAGAAATCCAGACTGAATTGAAGAGTAAATTTTAAGACTTTTCTGTAGATAATGTCCAGAGTGTTTTGAAGAAAATTATGTAGGTATTTCCAGAGAGAGTCAGAGTTCCAAGGTGGATTTCATAGATGATTTGAAATTCTTGAACAAATCCTGCGATAGGTTCCAACATAAATCTGACTTGAATTTAAGATTCTGTGACTTAAGATAAGTTTGTACTATAAAAAACATAAGATCTTATCTCAAAGATGGATGATTAACAGAATTAACAAGAATTAAGATTAACAGTCTTAGAATTTTAGGGTTTTTGCGCTTTTTTAGTTTTGAACTCAATCAAATTTTCGATACTCTAGGGCACTGAAAATTTGGAAATCTGAAATTTAAAAAAAAATTGCGATATTTTGAAGTTTGTAAACATTTTAAATTCCAAATTCCGAGACTTTGAAATGATTTTTCGTAGCAGATTACTTCATTCAAAATTGTCCCCCCCTCTATCTAACCTGGTTTTGACCTTGCCCATAATAACTATTTTCTAGATGCTGCTTAAAATATGCCAAGATTCACTTTAATTTCCAAATGCCTTTATATATCTTCAAAAGTCTTCACAGAACATGACATCCTTAACTAGCACATCCATCTGAATAACTTTGATGAAGGCCGCAACATTACATATATCTAGTCGAAATATCAAATTAATAGCAAACAGTGGACTATTCAATAGGGCTTGTCCTTCTGAACTAATTTGCAGAAAATGGAAACCACAGACAAGCAGACATACCATTCGCAAGTTGTTCATCACACACGCATTTAACGGTCAATTAAAATGTGTTTTAGTTGGTAATACCGCCACTTGTGGCGCGCATAGTTCAGTGTACTGCCCATCACAGTATACTCACCAGATGACGTAATTTTTTTTTGAAAAGTTGTCCAAGGCATAAAAGCTGTTCATCTTCAAACAACTGAGATATACGAAGTTTTATAAAATTTGCCTGAAATTCACGTTTTTCTTATTATATTTTGAACAATTGTTGTGAAGAATACTTTTGTCATTTTTCCTCGATTGGTACTGATCAATCCAATATTTTCCAGACCAATGCTATTATTTTTAGAATGCAGAAAAAAATACATCACATGATATTTTTTAAAAATACATGATTTTCAGAATGATTTTTCTAACATATGCGATCTGTATTGAAATCCCTGTGCTAAATTTGAATGAATTTGCAATCGCATTTACCCTCTCCTTCCAGACAAAATCTCAACTCAGACTTTGCCGACTCAGCACTCGGCTCGTCGGACAAATCCCCACAACCGTACAGCCCACAGCACCGCAATGGCTACCGGGACGATCAAGCCATCTCCAACCACCCACGCTACGGAGGACCCAAGGCCAACCCGCTGAACTCCAACATGTACACCTACCTCAAGTTCGGCCTACCGCGAGTATTTCCACCAAACGGCGGAGGAGGTGGTGGAGGAGGCGGAAGAGGCGACGGTGGAGGCCGTGGTCGCAACTCATCCAAGGCAAATGGCCGAGGTCGCGTGAACCGAGGCTACCGGGACAGTACTGGCCCTGGTCCCGGCTCGTCCGGATACGACAGCAGCGATAACGAAACCCACCGCGGTAGAGTGCCAGCTAATTTAAGGTTTGTATCACGGAATCTCCTAGCTTTCCGATAGACTCATGGAATTCCGCCAATTTCAGAAAATATCGTAGTGAATCGGATTTCCGTGCAATTGGAGTGACTCCCACCTCGCGGCCAAACTCGCGAGCCCAGGGCATCCCCCTGGCAGCACTAAAGCAGGCCAACAGCCGTGCCAGCATAGCTGGTACCCATGTGTACAACCCCTACGCCACCAACCAGCGACATCACAATCTACGGTCACAAAGCGAAGCGGACCTACTTGCCGAGTGGGACTACGACGAATCGCCGGTCTACGGCGAAACCCGACTTTATCCGGAGGAAATCTATAACACACAGAGTCGGAGGCATTCGATAGCAGGTTTGGTGTATCCGAACATTCAGGTTCACTGTTTGGACGTTCTACCCGGGATGCGAGGAGTTTCGCTTCAAGCTAAGGCAGGGGACCTGTTTGCCATCATGGCGACTTCACAGCGAGAGGGAACGGCTCTGGTGGAAGCCTTGGCTGGTGTGCGGTAAGTTCTATTATTGTACTAACTTCTTCAACGGGGTTCAATAGTTTGAACTTTCAGGCAACGTTTGAGCGGAGAAATACTGGTCAACGGTCAACAGGTGAACCGACGCATCCTGAGACAACTGTGCGGTTACGTACCGGCCTTGGACAGAGCTCCCCTTGATCCCAGGATGAGCGTCCAGAGTACCCTATCGTTCCACGCCGCACTCCGTGGACCGTACGACCGCAGTGACCTCAAGGAACGCGTCGATATCCTCGTGGAAGACCTCGGTCTAACTGCCGTCCGCTCAGCCAACGTGTCCCGTTTGACTCATTCGGAAAAACAAAGACTGAATGTGGCCTGCCAACTGCTAACGCAATCCTCGATACTGCTGCTGGATCAAACCACGGTCAATATGGACATCTTCGATACATTCTTCCTCGTAGAATACCTCCGTCAGTGGTGCAGTGCCGGCCGGATGGTCATCATGACCCTGCAACCACCAACATTCGAGATTCTGTCCATGTGTTCCGGAGTGCTTCTACTGTCCGGTGGTCGAACCGTATACTCAGGAAGCCGAGCGGATCTACCACGACACATGGGTCAGCTGGGCTACCCTTGCCCTCCGTTTAAAAATCCCGCCGACTACTATCTGGACTTGGTAACACTGGATGATCTGTCGGCTGCAGCCCTGCTCGAATCCTCGGCGAGGATTGAATCGCTGGCCAACTCATGGGATCACGTCAACTCAGAACCACCGCTCGCAGCACCCGTTGCCAATCTGCCAGAACCGACCAGGAGCGCTGGATTCTTTGGACAAATTCACGCCCTGGCTAAGAGGTGGGTGTTCACTGTCCGCGATCATCAGTAGGTCAGTACTCAATGGGTCATTTATTGCAGGTACATATCCTACAAGCAACCGGGCTCGCTACTGAACTGGATCAGCCGACTCATCCTAGCTGCCGTTCTATCGCTTTTCGTCGGATGCATCTTCTGGGACGTCCCAGCATCCGATCCTCAGTTGAATCTCAACGATCGATTAGGGTAAGATCACCATACCCCAGGTCTACCAACAACAGTTTGAATCTAACGTTATCTTCGATTTTCCCCAGTTTCCTCCACTGCATCCTAATGGTCACTCTGTGGCCATTGCTGATCCTGCAAATCCGTGACGTCCAGGAGGATCGACTGTACGCGGAAAAAGACCTCCGACTAAGTTTGTACGGAAGATTTCTCTACATCATCATCCAGACGACGCTCAGCGTCCTGCCGAGCCTCTGCATATGGCTGGCCTATCTGCTTCCGGCGCACAGCATGGCCGGCCTGTACGCATCCCCAAGTAACAACGATACCATCATCTACGTTTACATGGGTAAGTCAAAAGTGTTTACCTTCCCAAAACTTGAATAACGACCTGCGACATCTTCATTTTTTCTGTAGGTTACCTGTTACTCTACCTAATGGCCATACAAACGATAGTGCTATTCGTCGCCCATCTGGTGTCGTGCAGCATTTCCGGAACGATCCTAACCACGCTGGTGCTCCTGCTCCTGTCCGCCGTCGGAGGCTACGCTGTCCACCCTCGGAACATCCCCGACTACCTGAAATGGGGCGAGATTGTTTCCCCGGAGAAGTGGATCCTACCGCTACTGACCGAGCAGGAGTACAGCGTAGAAACGATCACAATGCAAACCAGCCAGCAGATGTGCCGGAACAAACAAGTAAGGCACACCCCGGTTTCCCTCCCCCAAGATCACCGCTATAGCAGCCCCTCGTTTCAGGTTCAACACCAGGAGATCATCGTCCAGCAGCCCTGCCCACCACCGAACGGAACGGCCGTGCTGGTCGATCATCTGCTTCTGCCCCAGGATCACGTCCTGGATCCAACCGACATGTACTCATCGACGGTGCTCGGTCTCCTTCTGACCTGTATCATCTTCTTCGCCCTGAGCATGTTCGTTTTCCTGACCAACTGCCGAAGCATCTGCCGAAGGCGCGTCGATCGACGACAGAAGCGAATTTAGGAACCGACACGGCCTAGCAATACTTAAAGCAGAAGCAGCAACAACAACAACAACAAGTGTGTAACTTTCAAATCGAGTTTTTAGTTGATTTTTTTTTTAATTTAAATGAAATTATTAGACGGTACTAATCTGTAGTTGTAAGACAAAAGCGACGGATCGATAATGAAAAAAAAAAAAATGATAGCCAACTATTTAAGATTTTTAATCGATTGTTTTAGGGAAAAAGATGAAGAAGAACGAAAGTGAGCATTGTTTTCGTTTAGCGATGTACAATGGCTAAAGGCGAAGAAAACAATTTACGAAACAAAAAAAAAACACAAGAGTTAATTAGAGACGACGAATAGACACGAGATATATTTTTTAAAAGAAGAAAACCATTAGCGGTAGAGCGCGCGACGTAAGGAACGATGTCAATGCGAGGAAGCAGAGTTGCATCCCGTGCATTTAGAAACAATTGTGCTGAATGCTCTTAGCTGAATAAAGTTCATTTATTTTTAACAAAACGGTCGGAAGCGATATCCGCTGTGCTACATCACATCCATTTTAGACTAAGTTACTTGATATGCTTTCGTTATATGTTTTTTTTTTAATTTAGGTCTGAGACTGAATGTCTAAATTGCAGGCTGTCGGTGATTAACATTTCAGGGTGTATTCTAAGCTAATTTTGAGGAGTATTAATTGATAATTCTAAAATGAACTTTAACTAAATTCTGAGGATAACTTATCCAAACGAGTTATGAGAAATGTCTGGGAGAATTCCCAGATAGTCGAATGCTGCGGATAGCTCCGCAAAGATAAGCATCCCAAGGGAACCGAATTCTGAGGGTTATCCCTAGAAGGTTGTGACAAAAGTTTCATGGACATTCCGAGAAAAGAATTCTTAGGAAAATATATAGGGTTCCGGACGAGAATTCCAAGAAAATTACCAGGAAACTCGGAGAAGATCTCCAAGATAAAGGACAACTACAAGGCATTTCTAAGGTGAACTGCAAGACAGTTATAAGCAGAATTCTAGAGAAGTTGTAAGTGGAATTATGGAGGTTGGGAGTTGTGAGAGGCTAACCAAGTTTCGAGCGGCAACAAGCGCCCTTTGCACACGCACTACTTTCATGGTGACCTGGTCTCGCTGGCGGGAAAGCGACGTCAAGACTGTCGCCCACGACAAAGTGATGGTCAACATCCGATCTCGACTCACCGACTTGACAATGTGACAGGTGTCATCCCGCCAACAAGAATCAAGGTGTCATCTTGGAACATTCCCTTCGGCGTCCAACTAGCCGATCCGGAATTCTACAAACCAGACAAGATCGGTATGCTTCTTGTTGCAGAGTTATTCTTCAAGTTGATGCGACTATAGGACGTATCAAACTCGACGACAACCTCCCCGATCTCCGTGAGACCCGCCTTGCCGATCAACGCCAATCAACCACAACATTCGCTCATCGTATCGTTGGACGACATCGAGGAATCCATTCAACGATTTTGGAGGCTCGAAGATGTGCCAGATTCGAGTCCTCTGACGAAGGAAGAACATTTCATTTCGTCGCCACCCACCAGCGCGATGAAAATGGACGATACCTAGTGAGGCTACCGTTCAAGGATAACGTGCACGAGCTTAGTGACTGCCGAGCGGTCGCTCTGAAGCGATTACAGATGCTGCAGAGAAGGCTACAGCGGAACCCCGATCAGTTCATGCGTGAGTATGAAGATCTGGGACACTGCCACGAAGTACGAGAAGAAGACGATCTACCGCACCAGCAAAACTACTACCTGCCGCACCATACGGTACTTCGCCCATCAAGTTCGACCACCAAGTGCAGGGTGGTCAAACCAACAGCGAACAACCGTTCACTCAATGAGGTTCTACAAGTCGGTGCAGTGGTACAGAAAGAACTTTATGACGTCATACTTAGGTTCTGCAAGTGCCCAGTTGCATTCACAGCCGACGTGCCGAAGATGTATCGACAAATCAAGATGCATCCAAGGGACACACACTATCTCCGTGTCTTTTGGTGTGCGCATCCGTCAGAGCCACTTCGAGTCTTGGAGCTCACGACGGTTACATATGGAACAGCATCGGCTCCGTTCCAAGCTACCAGGTGCTTGCAGCTTGCTTTGGGATCCAAAAGTCGATTTTTTCCTCATCGCAAGGCCGGCACAATGTGATTTGAATCAACGATCAACGAAGCGTATCATCTACTCCGAGGTGGGGAAGCTTTTTGACCCGTTAGGACTTGTGTCACCAGTGATTGTCGTCGCCAAGCTACTAGTGCAGCAGCTGTGGAAGCACAAGATTGGATGGGACGAGCCCGTCAACGACGCGTTACAGGAGCGATGGGTTGAATTCGCAAATACCTTGTCAGCACTCGACAAAATCGCCATACCAAGAAGAGTTACGTTCCACGACGCCGTGGAACATGTGTTTATGTTCGAAGCCACCATTCGCTGCTTGATCGTCAAGCAGTCCAGTCCGGTTTCGTCCGCTCTCTCTCTCTTTTGAGTATTAATTTTGTGACAGTCCGTTCGCATCTTTCTTTCGCAGTGAAAAGCGAAACATCGTTCGATCTTAGTATGGGAAAACCGCCGCGTGGTGATGCGGTCGCAAGCTCGTCCGGGAAGCGTCCCCGTCAGGAAACCGCCAACGCTCAGTCAGCCTCGAAAAAGCTGCTGTCCAACAACCGGTACGCCATTCTGGAAAAAGGTGATGAACCGGAAATAAAGAAGAAGGAGAAACTACCACCCTTTTTTGTCAAGGGATTCCCGCCTGGACTTCGGGAAAACATCGAGTACTACATCGAGAAAGGCTTCTTGAACTTCACCATGCGCCTGTGCACTGAAGGCATCATTCTGATGGTACCAGCAAGGAAGGACTACAAGGCCGTTGAAGGGCTTCTGAAGCAGAAAAAATAGGAGTATTTCTCTCATGACATCGAGGAGGACAAGCCGCTCAAGGTGGTCGTGCTTGGTCTGCCCGATATGGAAATCGCCGCGCTGTCGTATAAGCTTAAGAAGAACGGCCTAAAGCCTTCGCAAGTCTTCAGGATGAATCGGCACGACGCCTCCCGCAAGTACCGTGACCAGCTGTATTTGGTCCACCTCGAGCGAAACACAGCGTGTTTGAAGGACCTGCAGTGTATTCGGGCGCTTTTCCACATCGTGGTTAAGTGGGAACGCTACCAACCGCGCCCCCGTAACGTCACCCAATGCTCAAACTGCCTCATGTTTGGGCATGGGACCAAAAATTGCCACATGTCTCATCGGTGCAACGAATGTGTGGCAAGCATCACGCACCCGAAGAATGCGAGAGCATGGAGAACGCCGATCCACACTGCGCCAACTGTGGTGCAGCACATCGAGCTACCAGCAAGTCTTGTCCGAAGCGTGCGGAATTCATGGAAATCCGCAAAAGGGCCTCCACGCAGAACCAGCCGGGTCGGTAAAAGCTACCGGCACGCAATGAGCAGAATTCCCCCGCCATTAGCCAACGGTGTCCGATTCCGATTCTTCCGCCACTACCGCTCAACAACCGTTTGGCTGCTGCTGCATCGGTCCCGCCAACTGCTGAGGTGCCAAACCATCCGGCTAATCCGAGCCTTCAGTCCTATGCGGCAACGGTTCCGTCCCCTCCCCCGGAACTATCGTGGCGTCGAGTCGATGCCCCACCATCGAATGAAAACGAAGAGCTACTCACAACAGAGGAACTCATTACCATCATGGCAGAAGCAATCATCATCAAGCGCTCCTGCAGAACCAGAACCGAGCAAATTCTTGCTGCATCGCGTTTCATCGACAATTATGGATCATGAAACCATCAAGATCGCCAACTGGAACGCTTGCTCGCTCAAGAGCAAGATCATCGAGTTCGTTGACTTCCTCAACAAACAAAACATCGACATTGCCGTTATCACCGAAACCCACCTGAAACCGGAGGTAAACGTTTACCTTTCTGACTTCCGGCTTCTAAGACTTGATCGAACCAGCTCCGGGGGAGGAGGAGTTGCCATTGCGGTAAGGAGGAACATCTGCTGTCGGCTTCTACCGAGCTTCCAGCTGAAAACCATCGAAGCTTTAGGGGTAGAAGTCTGCACTCCTGTCGGCCCTATCACCATCATTACGACCTACTGCCCCAAGCAAGTCACCATCAGGGACGGATCGGCAGCAGACCTGCGGAGGGACATCATCAAACTAACTCAACGGCGCGAACAGTACATCATCGCTGGCGACCTGAACGCCAAACACCAGGCTTGGGGCAATAGTCGACGCAACCAAAACGACACCATCCTGAACGACGACCTGCAAGAGATTCGCTACACCATATTAGCGCCGGACTCTCCCACCCGGTTGAGCCGGTCTGGCGTTCACTCCACCACTGACATCCTCATCAGCAACATGGGAGACAACATCTCGCTACCTGTGATCCATCAGGAGCTGAGTTTGGACCACTATCCGGTGGTGGCCGAAGTAGGCTCATCTGTCAACCGATTCCAAGCTTCCCGACGCAACTACCATCGTGTCAGCTGGGAGGAGGCGAGGAGCATCGAGGAGGCGATATCCCGGACCAACACGTGCCAGTATCCAAACAGGTAAGCAATACTCTGAACCTTGATAGAATTACCAAAGATCTCATTAGACTCCGTAACTCCATCCGAAGGCAATACCAGCGTTCTGGTTTGCGTGTCTTGAAGACCCATTGCAATCGTCTTACAAAAACCATCCAAGCCAGGATGGTGGACCTCAGAAATCAAGATTTTGCTAACAAGATCCGCTCTCTCCCAGATTGTGCAAAGCTCTTCTGGAAACTAACGAAAATTCTTTCCACCACTGACCCCACTGGATCGTCCCGGCGACCCAGTGGTTCATCTGATAACTCCTGAAGAGAAGGCTGCCGCGATAGGTCAACACTTCGTCAGCTCCCATAATCTCGGACAAAACATCATCAGCCCTCATGAATCTGAGGTTGCTGAAAATGCAACCAATCTTCATCAGATTCTTAACATTTTTCCAGAGGAATCCGAGATTACGGCTGACGAACTGTTGGCCTATAACAAATCATCTAAAAACATGAAGGCCGCAGGTTTCGACAACATCCTGAATCTGGAACTCAAACACTTGAGTTCCAGATTCTACAACCATCTGGCACTAATTTTTAATCAGTGCTTCAGACTTGGCTACTTCCCCTCGTGTTCGAAGTCAGCTAAAGTCATACCCATCCGGAAACCTGGGAAGGATCCGTCCTCTCCTTCAAGTTATCGACCAATAAGCCTTCTCTCAGGGTTATCAAAACTGTTCGAAAGAGCAGTCTACCACCGGCTCCTAACATCTGCCGATGAAAACAACTTGTTACTCGAGGAACAGTTTGGTTTTCGGAAAGGTCGTTCGACCGTCCACCAGCTGACTCGAGTGACAAACATTCTCAGACGGAACAAGTCTGTTTCGAAAACATCTGCCATGGTGTTGTTGGACGTTGAAAAAGCGTTCGACAATGTCTGGCATGATGGCCTGG